GCAGACTGTCGAGCCGCCACAGCTGCACGGCTCGGCAGTAGGCCTCTCTCCTCCTGGCTCTGTTTCTCTGCTAGAAACCTGGGTGAAACAGTGAGCGGTCACACGCAGGTGAGTCTTACCTGTCACTGTCCCAGCTCCTAGGGGTGCCCTCCTGGCCATGCTCCAGGGACAGAGTGGAAGATGCTGGCCCCCAGTCCTCAGCTCTGGGATCCCTGCCTCCCCTCTTCCCACCCCCACTCCTGCTGCCACTGATGCCCCGGCCCAGCCCTCACCAGCTCCCTGCCCAGCTCTCCCTGGGCCCTGGGGGCTGACTCACAGCTGGAGGAGACCATACTGACGATAATGGAGGTGGACGTGCTAGAACTCTGCACCAGGACGGTCACCAAGATGCCCACCACCAGCCCCGCCACCGGGTTGGACAGGATGGCGCTGTCCTTGAAGATGTCACCAGCCACCTTCCCTGGGGAGCAGGAGCCTGAGTTGGCCAAGGCCCGTCAGGGACCCAGCCCGGCCCCTCGGGCAGCCCTACCTCCAGCCAGCTGGAAGGCCGAGCTGAGCACGTCGAGGGAGCAGACGAAGAAGTAGAGGAAGCCGAGCATCAGCGGCACCTTGAGCAGGGTGCTGCCCACCTGCTGCAACTTCTGGACCAACCCAGGCTCTGCAGATGGGCGGCCATGAGCACCCAGGGTGCAGGGTGCTGGGTGGGGTGTGCCGGAGCCCCTGCCACCCCTCCAGCCCACCTGGCTTCTGCTCCTCCTCCAGGGCCAGCTTGGCAGGCAGCGGATCGTGGAACTCCAGAACCTCCCCGTAGGGACCGCCGTGCTCAGCAAGGGCCACGGGGCCCAGAGTGGGGAAGGCATAGGCTGAGGTCCCTGGAATCCTGTGCAGGACTGGGGAGGGAGGCCAGCAGGCAGGCAGAGGGACATAGGCATCATTGGGGATGTGGGCGGTGGGGGCCAGCCAGGCCACGGAGCAGGGCGTGGGCAACACTCACCCTGTGGGCTGGGCACATAAGCAAAGGCCGCCCCACGCATCATGTGTCCCCCCCGGATGGGGAGTGGGGAGACCGCTGGGCTCCCCAGTCTCTCTCCGTAGGACATCATCCTGGGCACACGCTGTGGGGCCTGCATGCACAACACTGAGTGCAGTTATGTGGCCTGGACACTGACACACTCACCGTCACAGACCCACAAATACACTCACTCACACACAGAGACACACTCACAGTCACACACTGCCCCCACATGCTCACACACGCAGAAACTCACAGTCACACACACACACACACACACACACACACACACACACACTCCTACAGACCCACAAATATACACACTGACCAAGACTCACAAATACACTCACTCACACACTGACACACTCATAGTCACACACCACTTCCACATGCTCACACACACAGAAACTCACAGATACACCCACTCACACACACTCACACTGTCTCTACTCACACACACACACACAGTCACAAACACCCTCACAATCACTGCCCCCCCCCACCGACACACACACACACACAGTCACAAACACCCTCACAATCACTGCCCCCCCAACCGAGACACACACACACACACACACACACTGGAAACCATGCTCCTATGTACACACGGGATTCACATGCACAAACCCAAACCCTCCCGATCTGGGCATTCGCTTATTCCCTCTGTCCAGGCACTGAGCTCAAGGTGGGGTGCACCGACTAACGACTAACCGACTAGCCCCCCAGCTGGCTCAAATCAACCTCAACTCCTGCAGCCACTGGTGCCTCAGAGCAGACCTGCGCTACGAGGGTTTGCCAGAGCTGGGCTTTTGGAAGGGGATCACCAGGCCTTTTCCCTGAGTGCCTCTGAGTGAACGGAAACCACCAATCTTCCAGGTAGCCGCCGGGTCTGTTCCCCGTCTGCACTGCCAGATGCGGGAGCAGTGAGGTCCATGTTGGACAGAAGCCCAAGGGGGAGGCTGATCTAAGCTAAACACATGTGGGTGGGCTATGGCAATGGGGCCAGTTGTAACGAGAGGTACAGGCTACCCTGGGTGCCCCTGGTGGCTGGGGTGACAGCTCTTGGGAGAAGAGGGTCTTCCTGAGAGACAGTTGAGAGTTGGGGGGTTGTGTGGAGGCCCTGTGGGGGGAGGAGCAGGCCACGAAGAAGCGGAGCACCTGCCGCATGCTGGAGAGCAAGGAAACAGGGGGACTGGAGGAGGCTGTGATGTGGGCCAGGGTGGGGCCAGGAGGCACTGGGAGAGCTGGGGGAGAAGCTAGGGGGAGAGCCATGGGCAGGGTCACAGTTCCTAACTGCTCCTCAGCCCTGCCGATAAACCAGCACTGTCGGAAGACCCTTCTTGTGTGGAAGACACTCAGACCAGGAGGGCCGCCCCCATCCCCAGGGCTGGCTCGAACCTGGAACTGTCCCTGAGTCCTTAGGGGTGGGGCACCCCTAGTCTGGCTCCACATCCCTCACATAGTCCCAGGGTCCCTGGCTGTTGGGATTCAGGGACACGGCTGGGTTGCTGGGCGCCAGGACCAGCAGAGGTCCTGTGCACTGTGAGGGGGTGGGCCAGGCTGGGCTGGGGCTGTGGTGCAACAGGGGCAGGATGGGGGCACCCAGGTTGGGGGAGGGAATGGAGGCCTTCTGACTGTTTCCTGCTAAGAACAGGGGCTGGGGGTGGGACACAGAGGCCCTGGGCTCACCTTTCGGTCTGCGTTCCAGCTCCAGCTCAGCTGCTCAGGAAAGCTCGGGGGCTGTGGAGGGGCTGGGGCCGCCTCCTTATACCCTCAGGTCAAGGGCAAAGTCCCTAGAACCCTAGCTGCCCTCCCTCTGTTCCCCGATTAACCTCCCCCCCCCACACCCCAGATGCCTCCAGTTAATTGCTAATCAGCTCTGCAGGGAGAGTCTGTGGTCAGGCCTCCCTCTCCCACATGGACACGCAGCCTGAGCCACCACCCAACGAGGGGACAAACATAACCCCTCCCCACCCACCCCCAGCAGAGACCCTGCCCACAGATGACAGATACACAGGCCACCTGCTCCCAGGATCCTCAAAGAGGTCCCCTTGGTCCTGGCCTGAGAGGAGTCCCCCAGGAGTGACTCACACAGCCAGGGGTCTTCTCACAGGGACACCCTATGTCTTGTCTGTCTGTCCATCTGGGGAGGGCGCTGAGGCAAGGGCGTGTCATGGAGGATGACCAGAGGAGATAGATGCAGAGAGACAGCGGCCTGTGGACTCGTGGAGGGTCTCGAATGCCTGGCCTTGTGGCAGAGTGTGAGCCCCTGAATTCCCCGGGGCAGGGGTGTGCGGATCTTCCTTTGAGAACAGTCCCTCTGGAGTGGGGTGGGGGATGCGTCAGGCAGCGACAAAAGGATGATGGGATTGCCTAGGGGAGAGGAGCTGAGGTCTGAAGGAACCCGTGGAAGGAGAGATGGGAGTGAGTGGAGGATGCAGCAGAGGAAGTACGGGCGGCAGAACTGAGCTGTGACAGGATGGGGGTGGGGGGGGGGCACAGGACCATCAGCCACTAAGGACACAGGTGTGTGCAGTCTCTGATCATCAGAGGTGAGTCCTGGGAAGCTCCTTCTCCTCTTCTGGGCCTGTGAGGCTGGAGTCGGAGTCACAGAGGTGAGAACGGAGCTTTGGGGAGGAAGTACGAATGTGATCAGATTCAACAATGGTGGGTCCCTTTGAGACAGCGGTTCGCAACCTTCCTAATGCCACAGTTCCTCATGGGGTGGTGACCCCCCCAACCATCAAATTATTTTCGTTGCTACTTCATCACTGTCGTTTTGCTACTGTTATGAATCGGACGATCCCTGTGAAAGGGTCGTTCGACTCCCAACCGGGTGGAGACCCACAGGTTGAGAACCACTGCTTTAAGACCTAGTTGGGCCAACTGCCTGCACGACTTGCCTAACATTGTCAGCACATCCATCTAGCCTTCATCTGCCCACCGTTAGCCAGCCAGCCAGCCTCTGATCTGTCTTTATGCAGCCATTCTTTTATCCACTGGTCTAGCTTTCCATTCACCTAACATGCAAGCTGACCAACCATATGTATGTCCATCCATTTGTCCATTTGTCTATAGAGCCACCACCCACCCACCCATCTCTCCATCCACCCAGGCAGCAGCCAGTGAGCGCAGGCACGCTGAGCCAAGCTGGGCAAAGCCAGTTCCTCTCCTAGTCCTGAGACAACCAGACCGGACTCTGAACCAAAACCCCTCACCTCTGGAGGTCATCAAGGCTTAGAACCAAGTCCCCCAGCATGTTTGTTCTCTCCGGTCACTAAGTCTCCAGATGGCCCAGCTGAGGCCCGGGCCATTCTCAGCATGGCCAGTCTCAGTCCTGCTTCACGTGACCATTCCTCCCAGCTCACCAGCTGCCCCCGAGCTGCCACCCTGCTAGCAGCACACCTATGTATTTTAGAGTGACCCCAACCCCCACCTTTCCCATCAAGGAAGATGGGCATTCCCACGCTAACCCCGGTTGGCTTCCCAGCCAGGGCACTTCGTGTGCAACCACCAGCCTCCTTTTCAACGGCTTGCATCTCGTTAGGTTTTGCTAACCAGGTTTCAGTGGACCTTCCAGACCACGTAGCATAGGAAGAAAGCCCGGGCAAGCTACGTCCCAAACTCAGCCAAGGAAAACCCTCTGGCTCACAACCATCCTGTCCACCCTGATGACGAGGCTGGCACTGCCTGACAGCGCTTTGTCCCTCTGCGCAGGGAGCTGCTGGGACTCAGGGGCCAATGACGCACGCTGACAACAACCAGTCAGGACCCCGACACTCAGCCTCGCGGTGGAGTTTGGCTCCCCCACCCCGCCCCAAGCCATCCACCGCCTGTTTACAAAGTGGTTACAAGCAGCGTGTCAGTCTGGCCTGGGTGTGACCCCAGCCCTGCCACAAAATAGCTGTCAGAGCAGGTCATGGAACCCACAGGGGACGGAAGGGAGGTGCTTCTGGGACTGATCTGGGGCAGAGTGACCACAAGTCTTGGTTGACCTGACTCAGTCCAGGGTGACAATGGTTAAGCTAAAGTCCCTGTCACTCTGAAAAGTGTCCTGCTTTGGATAGTAAATCTTCTAGTCACGTCGGCCCTGGGGGATTCTGGAGAGCTAGTGATTAATTAATTATTGCAGAGAGCTCCCTACTCCAGGGTGCCTACAATGAAAAACACAGTGAAAAGGAAAAGCTAGCACCCAGCTCTGTTTGATTGTGTGTGGCTGTGACGCTGGAAGCAATGCCACCGGTGTTTCAATACCAGCAGAGGCACCTTAGGAGCCCTGGTGGCATAGTGGTTCTGCATTGGGCTGGGAACCACAAGGTCAGCAGTTCAAAACCACCAGCTGCTCCGAGGGAGAAAGGTGTGGCTTTCTACTCCAGTAGAGAGTTGTTGTTGCTAAGTGCCATAGCCTCGGTTCCTCCCCATAGCAACTCTGTGCACACCGGAGGAAAGCACTGTACCAGGCCACCCCGAACCCCAAACCCCGATGCACTCAGTGAGCCCCTTCAGCCTGCCAGGAGTGATTTGGGTATGCCTGGCATTCATAGAGATGGGGTGGTTGTTGTTGAGCGTGGGAAATGCAGTCCTTGCTGAGTTTTGTGTCCGAATCTTCGGGTCCTGGGGCTCCGAGGCCTTGTTAAAAATCCCAGGATGGGATGGGTGGGGGCTTCCAGAGACCCCGGGTCCAGGACCTGTTCCTCTCCCTGAGCAGCGGCAGTGGGATACAAAGGAATCATTACAAACACAAACGGAAGGTGCTGCTCCTTTTTGGCACCGCCGGTTATAAATGTGGGTGGCTAACTGCAAGGTCAGCCGTTCGAACCCACCAGGGCCCCCTCAGGAGACAGATGAGGTCCTCCAGGCTCCTGTAAAGATTGACAGCCCTGGCAACGTTGTGGAACAGTTCTGATCTCGCTATGAGTCCGTAGCGTGGTTTGGGGTGTGATTCCTATACGTTTACCGAGTCCATCTTCCCTGCTGCTGTGAGCAGGGTGGAGGAGGCAGCTATTGCTGAGATGGTCACAGGGTTGTATTTACAAAATGCTGGGAAACTGGGCAGTCGTTGTGCACTCAGTGCAAACGGCTTAACACCTGTGGCTGCAAACCAAAAGGTTGGAGGTTGGAGTCCACCCAGAGATGTCTTAGAAGAAAGGGCTGGTGATCCACTTCCGAAAGTCAGCCTCTGTCTACCCTGGGGTGCTGGATTGGTATACATTCGGCTGTGTCTGTTCTTAACAACAATAAAAACAGAAGAGATAGAAACTCCTATGGAGTGTGGATGAACAACATGATGAACATATTGATTGCCACTGAATTTTACTTGTGAAGACTTAGTTGATGGCAAATGTCCTGCTACCTGTAGAGTGACCACAGAAACAAGACAAAGGCAAGCATCGAATGAAAGCGTGCTTCTACTCTAACGCCCATGGGTCACCATCAGTACGAACCCACTCGACAGCACTAGGAACTTAAACTGCGTGAAAGCCTCAAAACTTCAGAACCGGCAAGAGCCACTTTAGGGGTTCTGAGAGCAGCCAGGGAGGTGGCTATACTCTGGCCCCAAAGACCTCAGCTCCTTGCTCATCTCAGCCTCCTGCCTGCTCACTGCCTGCCTCCTCGCCTGTCCCTGGCAATCGGTGTTCCCCTGATTGGCGACTCCTGTCCTGTTTGTACACCACACGAGCCACTTCCTTCTGCTCACCTGGCTCTTCGGGAGGCCTGGACGCTTGGTGGGGTCTTCATGGCAGACTCCCAGGAGGCAGCATTTCTGGAGGGTCTGTGTGAGCCGGGTGAGAAGGGGGCTCGGCAGGAGCAATTGGAGGTATGAGTCTGAAGCACACGGGTGCTCCCCCTGCCCAGACTTGGACCTC